CTAGAGTGATAGAAACAGCAAAGTTTGACACTTATTTCATACTTTAAGTTAGAACTTGATTTTTCGGTCCTTCTATAGATTCAGATAGTCAACGTTTATGAGTGATTTCGTACCTTTAATTTGAAGAGATAACATTTAGCAAGCGCGATTCTAAACATCCAATATAAACACTAAAACGACGTCAAACGAGAAACAACGTCTTTGCCGTTTAGGTCAAAAAGAGTACGAGTAAAATTACTGTGACTTTGTTTGACTTTCATACGTGAATACCATACAGTACGTGAACAAATCTTCTAAAAATGGAGACTGTATGCTATTTTTGACAGATAATCGATCTTCAACGTTAACAATTCCCTTGTTTAAGGTTTTTCTCTTCTCTAATATTGGGAAATGATTGAATGGCAGGGAATTTTTTCCGTCAATCACGTATAACTGTGCAAAAAAAAAAAAAAAAAAAAAAACACACAAAAAAAACACGGTGCTTTCGCGCTGTGACCGTACCGTGCCGTGGTGGTGATGTATTTTTTAATCTTTATTTTTATTTGGAATTCTAGAAAGGCGAGGTTCCGTGACCGTGCCGTGTCCGTGTTGTGATTCGTGCCGTTGCACAGTCATACGAAATTCGCTCTATATATTCGCACGATCGTTGAACGAAGCATTTGCCCTGAAAAGCGACAAACCATATTCTAATGGCATCAACAGGGGCTTCGAGACTGGAATCGAAAAGTCACCAAGAAATGACCAAAAAMGACAACAATTCTGGCTACAATAGTTTATTGATTCTCATTAACGATGCATATTGGCTCCTGATGTGCATCTAGTAAAGAAACATAAAACAAAAATGAGTTGGACAACTGCGAGCCGATATCTAACCAATTGTTTGCCTTCCTACGTGCCTTCGTAGGCTGTTAGCAATCTATATTATGAACTTTTTCTAGGGGCGCGTGATTGTCGCCAAAAAATAATAAAGTAAATAAACAAAGAAAGAAAGGGAAATAAGGAATGAAAAATAAAGAAATAGAAAACATTACCTGATTTTTCTATACATCGCAGCCATACACTCTGATTCTCATACAAACATGAGTGGATTTCCAGGACTGTGGCTTGAACTTCAGATATTGTGCGGTWATCGGGAATTTAACCCAGTGTGTTTCCAGAGTAAACCGGTCCGAGTTTCCTGCAAACATCTGTGGTACAGTAATAGTTAGGGTATTTAAAAGGTTGTCTTGTCTTTTGCATCGAGACGCAACAAAACAAC